AAACCTGCTTTCAGTGAGCCGGGATCTCAGAGCTGGAGTTATACATTGTTTCGATTATAGAACCCAAACAAACCAGATACCTGCTTTAAGCAGCAGATGCCTCAGAGCTGGAGCCAGAGCTAAAGCTGGCCCAGAATAAAAAAAAAAAAAAAGAAAAAAAGGAGCAGTTGGGAGCTTCAGCCCTCAGCCCCTCACCCAGACTGGCCAGGCACCCCAGTGGGGACCCCCATCCTGAAGGGTGTGTGACCAGCTGCAAACAGCCATCATCCCCTCACCCAGGCTGGCCAGACACTCCAGTGGGGACCCCCACCCTGAAGGGTGTGTGACCAGCTGCAAACAGCCATCATCCCCTCACCCAGGCTGGCCAGGCACCCCAGGGGGGACCCCCACCCTGATCCAGGACACCCTTCAGGGCAAACCAGCCAGCCCCACCCATGCACCAGGCCTGTATCCTATATAGTAAAAGGGTAATATGCCTCCCAGCACCGGGATCAGTGGAGCCGAGAGGCCTCCCGGCACCAGGATCAGCATGACAGGGGGCAGCGCCCAAACCCCCTGATTGCCCTGTGGCTCTGTGTGTGACAGGGGGCGGCGCCTCAAGCCCCTGATTGGCCCTGCTCTGTGTGTGACAGGGTAGAGCCATAACCTCCCCATCTGCCCTGCCCTGAGTGTGAGAGTGGCAGCTCCCCAACCCCCTGATCCGCCCTGCTCTGTGTGTGACAGGGGGCGGTGCCCCAACTCCCCTATTGGCCCTACTCTGTGAGTGACAGGGGGGAGCTCCCCAACCCCCTGATGGGCCCTGCTCTGTGCGTGACAGGGGGGAGCTCCCCAACCCCCTGATGGGCCCTGCTCTGTGCGTGACAGGGGGCAGCGCCCCAACCCCCGGATTGGCCCTGCTCTGTGCGTGACAGGGGGTGGCGCCGCAACCCGCAACCTCCCCATTGACCCTGCCTTGAGTGTGACAGGGGGCGGTGCCCCAACCCCCCAATCGGCCCTACCCTGAGCGTGACTGAGGGTGGCATCACAACCTCCCAATCCGCCCTGCTCTGTGCATGACAGGGGGCGGTGCCCCAACTCCCCAATCTGTCCTGCTCTGAGCCCGACCAGGGGCTGCACCTAGGGATTGGGCCTGCCCTCTGCCACCCGGGAGCAGGCCTAAGCCAGCATGGCGTTATCACCCGAGGGGTCCCAGACTGCGAGAGGGCACAGGCCAGGCTGAGGGACCCCCCCACCCCCCCAAGTGCACAAATTTTTGTGCACCGGGCCTCTAGTATTAATATATTGAGGTGCGTCCTACCAAAAGAGGAAGACTGTTGACATAGGAAAAAGGTAGATAGTTCTGCTATATTACTTCATTTGAATAAACAAACATGTTCTAATGTCAATGATATATTATGAAACAATTTGTGCACAACTGAATTTCACATTTTCCTTTGTGCCCTTTTGTTCAGTAGAATGCAGAAAACTGCATCAAGCTCAAAACAAGCTGCATAGGAATACACATACACACACACACTCCAAATACTAATCGGCCACCTTCCTTCACTTCACAACTTAAAAATTTCAGATAAATCTCCTTCTACCACTTCACAATAACTGACTAGCTGCAATCCCGCTGTGTTTCCACAGCAAACTGCATATCTTCTTCAAAGTAAAGTGTTATATGCATTGTAGTATTCGTGTTTTTCTTAATTATTTAACATTGTAAAGCTCCACTACTGTTTATACTAGTTTTCTATCTTTTTTATGTGTCACTGACAAAGTTGTTGAATGCTATTCCCCTAACTGCATTTTTCCATAAATCCTGAGGTTTTTCGTGTGGAGTGTTGCATAGCACGGTGACTTTTAAGAACCCATGTCATGTTATAACAGAACTGATTGTGGAGTGAATGGGGAGGAAACCAAGCTTAGACAGAGGGGGGAACACACCTTCATCTAATGTTTCAATCTGGCAGAGCTGTCCATCTGATGGGCCTGCCCCTTGTGGCTAGGTTTGAATGGGACTAAGACAAGCCTCCAATGTCTTTCCTGCCAGAGTGATACAACAACCTGCCCTAGAGGTAGTTGGATGAGAAAAAGAAGTGACATAGGATGGGCCCAGAGAAGGTTAGTCCAAATGCCCATCAGTAAATGAGTGGATACAAAATATGTGGTACATTTACACAACGGAATACTATGTGTCTGTAAAGAAGAAGGAGCTCTTACCCTATGCGACAAGATGGAAGGATTTGACGGTAATTATGCTAAGCAAAGTAAGACAGTCAGAGAAAGACAAATACCATATGATTTCACTTATATGTGAAATATTAGAGGCCCAGTGCACAACATTCATGCACTGGTGATGAGGGGTGGGGGGTCCCTCAGCCTGGTCTGCACCCTCTTGCAGTCCAGGACCCCTCTGAAGATGTCCGTCTGCCTCAGGAGATGTCCACCCAAGCTGGCAGTCAGGCATCCCCCGAGGCATCCTTAGTGCTGCCACTGCTCCCGCCACTGCTGCTGTACTCGCCAGCTGTGAGCCCTGTGGAAGTGCACTGACCACCAGGGGGCAGCTCTTGCATTGAGCATCTTCCCCCTGGTGGTCAGTGCATGTCATAGCGACCGGTCATTCCACCATTCAGTCAATTTGCATATTCGCTTTTTATTATATAGGATAATGAACAAAATAAACTGACGAACAAGGTAGAACCAGAGGCATGGATGCATGGAGCAGACTGGTAGATCTCAGAGGGGGTGGAGGAAGGGAGGACTGAATGGGGGAAGATGAAGAGATTAGCCAAAGAATATATATAGCTCATGGACACAGACAATAGTGTGGTGAAGGCTAAGGGAAGGGGGTGTGGGCTCGGTAGAGGTGGATGAAAGTGGAGGCGGGGGAATGGGAGACATCTGTATAGTGTCAACTATAAAAATACATACATAATTAAATTTAAATATATATATTTAAATTCATGTCCTGGGTGTGCTAATCAGTAAACATCTCAAATAAATCAAGCGACTGAGGGCAAAGGTACCTTCCCACTAAAGCATCACTATCCCAAATTAGCCTTTATTTAGTTCAGAAAGATGTACATGGAAATAATGAAAGGAAATATAGAAAACATTTGAGAATTATATATTTAAGAGATTTGGGGGTGGGGGGTGTTTACTAGCACATAAGTAAAACCACATAGATGAGAAGCCTACTAGGTTATTAATAAACATATAATGCCAAAGAAACAAGAACTCAGCTAAGAAAGACTTTGACTAGTCAAGAGCTAATACAACTCTTGGATCCAAGCTTTCAGCACCAGGAAGTAGACTGAGAAAGCTGTGCTGTCCCCAAGAAGAACATATTCCCCAGAGCCCATTTTAGATATGGCCTAAGAAGATAATGGAACAATAGAGACAGGACCGGAATCCCAGTATCACTCCAAATACTATCCAGATAACTATTTGGTTATTATCAATATGAGGAACAACCAATAACTTCTTGATGAGCAGTCCAGGAAGGAAGAAATTGAGAAACTCCCCCAGGGTTTCCAGCTTAATGAAGTTGATGGGATCCTCATGATCTAGTTTCCAAGAAAAGGAACAGGAACATGAAGAAGTGCTAGCATGAGTTCTATATCCTGGAGAAGATATTCAGTTGACAGATGAGTTTACGCATTTAAAACTCAAAAGAGCTCTAGCTCAGTGAATAGAGCTTCAGCTTGCAGCCAAAGGGTCCCAGGTTAAATTCCGGTCAAGGGCACATACCTTGGTTGCAGGCTCCTCCCCAGCTGGTGTCATGGTCAGGGCTCGTACAGGAGGCAACCAATCGATGTGTTTTTCTTACATCGATGTTTCTCTATGTCTTTCCCTGTCTTTCCACTCTCCCTAAAAATTAATGGAAAAATATCCTTGGGTGAGGATTAACAAAAAATAAAAAACTCAAAAGAGTTCTAAGATGAAACGAGAGATGTGGGACTCATTGGTAAAGGTGGAGGTGGAGGAAATGAGTGTAGATGACCTTTGATGGAAAAAAAAATGAAAGAATGAGGGTCAAGAGTGTGAACTCCAAGAGCCTACTCTATTTTGCTAATCTGGCCATGAACAACATGCTATGATTCCTAATAATGTGGATGTTCAGAAGCCAGGTAGAAGAGAAAATCAAAAATAACCTGTGTCCTCCTACTCTTATCTATTCCCTGGAGTTGAAAACACTGTATTGAGCAGCATATTTGCCTCCATGATATTTACACTGTCTTTGTGAGGACCTAGTTTACTAATCACTAGGTTTGTGGACACATTTAGCTGATCATTTCAGTGCATGATAGAGATGCATGTTCTAACTTCAGGGAGGTAATTATGCTTTCATTCATTTCTCAAACATTTATTATGTACCAGGTATTTTATAATGTACTAAGAGTACAAATATTAATGACACACACTATTCTGGTTTCAAAAAGTTTATATAGTCAATTGAGGGAATAAATAAATAAATAACCCATTATAATTCATTACATATATTTGGAGACTTGTACAAGATACAATAGACATACAAAGATGAGTCTTGGATTGCCTAGAAAAATTTAGGAAACACTTCTCAGGAAAGACAATACTTGAAATTTGAAGAAAGAACAGGACTTTTCCAGATGGCTAAATGGCATGCATGCATGGTTGTTTTTCAAAAACACCTGCCAGGAGCTGCTTCAAACAGACTGTCAAACTACAGCGGGAAGGCCGGGGAGGGTGGAGGGGGTGGGCAGAAGGAGGGGGTAAGAGATCAACCGAAGGACTTGTATGCATGCATATAAGCATAATCAATGGACATAAGACACTGGGGGGTAGGGGAGGCCAGGGGATTGTCAAGGGCGGGGGGAAAAGGAGACATATGTAATACCCTTTGTAATACTTTAAGCAATAAAACAATTTAAAAAATAAAAATAAATAAAAAATAATAATAAAAAGAAAAAAAGAAGGGAAAAAAAAAAACACCTGCCAGTATAGAAGTGGATGGAGAGCCACTTGAACCTGTACAAATAATAAATGCACATTTGGGGATAAAAACTGGAACCCTTTCAGATATTAAATATAAAATTATTTTTATCCATTCATGCATAACTTACTTTATGTGCTGTTCAGCTCCCTGTATTTCTGGAGTACATCTGATCTACTGAGGATACCAAATGTTCATAATTAGAAGCATGAACACTTAGTTGTTATTTGTGGGTTGTGTGGGAGGAATATGAGAAAAGAAGAGGATAAAGGAAACAAAGAAACAGGGGAAGGAGGCAAAGAGGAAGAGGCAGAAAAGAAAAGAAAAAGAGATAGAAGAGGATAGGATGATGAAGAAGGAAGAGACTGAGGAAGAGAAGGAAAAGCCTTCTCAGGAAATCTCTATATTTTATACCTAGTTTCCTTGGCAAAGTTGGGAGTGGGGATTTATGAGGAGCCATCAGCCCAGAGGGGAAGCACAGCACCAAGCCTTCATGTCAAAGAACCGGTTGGCTACACCCTCGCGGATCTGCTTAGTCTTCACACCATAGACAATGGGGTTGAGCATTGGTGGCACCACTATATAAAGATTGGCCAGCAGGATATGGACATGTCGAGGAATGTTATGTCCAAAGCGGTGGGTCAATAAGGTAAAGAAGGATGGAACATAAAACATGAGGATGACACAGAGATGGGAGCCACAAGTGCTGAGAGCCTTGTGCCGGGCATCCTGGGAAGGTAAACGAAACACTGCTCGGAGGATCAGTGAGTAAGACACAGTGATGAGGATTACATCCGAGATGACCATGACAATGGGCACTGAGAAGCCATACCAGATATTTACAGTGATGTCAGCACAGGCTAAGCGGGCCACCCCAATATGCTCACAGTAGGAATGGGGGATGATGTTGGTCCGGCAGAAGGGCAGCCGCTTCAGCAAGAAAATCACGGGGAAGATGATGCAGAAGCTTCGGGTGACAATGGCCAGAGCAATTCTTCCCACAACAGGCCATGTTAGCACTGTTGAATAATGCAGAGGCGCACAGATGGCCACAAAGCGGTCGAAGGCCATAGCTAATAGGATGGCTGACTCCCCCACAAACATCACATGGACAAAGAAAACTTGGGTGACACAGGCATCAAAGGCAATGTCATGGGAATGAAACCAAAAGATGGCTAGGGCCTTGGGTACAGTAGTGGTGGACAGCAGGATGTCCGTCATGGCCAGCATGGAAAGGAAAAAGTACATGGGCTCATGAAGGTTAACGCTCTTGATGATGACCATTATCAGGACGCTGTTCCCCAGGACTGCTGTGATATACATGAGGCAGAGGGGTATGGACAGCCAGTTGTGATACGCCTCCAGCCCAGGGATGCCGAGTAGGACAAAAACTGCAGGGTGGAAGATGGTAAGGTTGGTGTGAGTCATGATGAACTTTAGGATCCTCTCTATAATGACTTAGAAGTTGATGGGTCTGCTGAATATAATAGGAACAGAAAGCATCTCTGAGTGTGAGCTGAGATCACAGAAGACAGCATGGATTTCTAAACTGTGGGATTCTCCAGGGGAAAGTCCTTCCAGAGACTACTCACTTATAGGGATAACCTCTGGCCCTTTGTGCTTATTTGCACGTAGAATGTCTTCATCAACCATGCTTCACCCTGCCTCCACTTGCACGTAGAACATCTTCATCAACCATGCTTCACCCTGCCCCCAAAGTCTGGGCCCACCCACTTTTCTGTCCTCATTCTGCATTTCCACACAAGCAGCATTTTCCCTCTTACCCATGCTATACTTTTCCTTCCAAGACTTTGCTCATTCTGTGTTTACAGGAATTTCCCTTCCCTTCCATTTCTGCTTATTCAAATTTTAAGACAAACCACTTTTTTAAATGGCCCATGTCCATAATAATATATCTCCTTCCTGAAGACCTATTAGGCAAACTGTATTTTAACTTTATTATATGTAATCACATTAAATTTATCTGGCTATTACCTTGAAAATTTCACATGACACTTACCTAATAACTTGGCACTTGTGGCTCCCTATTCATGTAAGTGGAGCACAAAGTAGAAATCCAGAAGGAGCCTAAGGGATGTGTTTCTCCATGCTGATCTAGATCGAGATCTTCTCTAAAGGCAGTGAGGAGTGGGGCAGCTGTTGAAATTGAGAAGCTATATTCATTACCTGCTCTTTGTGAACTTCTCACGCTCCTCCCCAGATAATTCCATAAAGGTTGTGTTTAGATCTTCATGTCCTTAGTAGCCACCAGGAAAACTATTCTGAGTATAAGAAATCAATGCACTCCCCTCTGGCTCCATTAATATAGCCTTCCTCTGGCCCTTGTTCCTTAACCCTCAAAAATATTTAGTTTTCCCTCCTGCTATGAAGGATTAATCCTAGAGACCTTCTTGCCTTGGCTTTTACCACCATTCATGTAAGATTTGTCTGCTTCTGAAGCTCTGTTAGCTATCAGGGCTAGGGAAAGAATGAGTGATTAAGATTCTGAAGGGAACATGGAGAAAAGAGACCATGGAGAGGATAAGGAGAGAATCAGGAGTATAAAGGAACAAGATAAACATTAGGTGGAACTACTGATACGGATTTTCAGAGGGTCTCTTGGAGGAAGGCATCCAAAGAAATAAGAGACAAAATTTATGAGTCTATCCTTCTTCCTCAATGCAGATGCACTTGCTCAGATCACGATGGCTGTAGGGAGGGAGCAATGGGCCTCCACATAGATACAGGAAAAGGGACAGAGCCAGATTCAGACAAGTAAGGGTCCCTAATAATTTGATACCCTTCCAGACAATATATTCTAAATATTAATTTATCTTCAATTTATAAGAGAGGCTGAACTTTACTGGCATAAGCACCAAGAGGCCACATTGTTCTGCCTCTATTCTAAAGCATAGGCCCCAAATTTATATAAACAAAACTTCATCAGAAATCAAATTCAGCCCTAACTGGTTTGGCTTAGTGGATAGAGCTTTGACCCACTAATGGAAGAGTCCTAGGTTCAATTCCAGTCAAGGGCATGTACTTTGGTTGCAGGCTCTATCCCTAGTAGAGGGTGTGAAGGAGGCAGCTGATCAATGTTTCTCTCTCATCTATGTTTCTAACTCTCTATCCCTCTACCTTCCTCTCTGTAAAAATCAATAAGATCTATTTTTTAAAGAAAGAAATCAAATTCATTTTCCTTTAATATATTACTTCTCAATGCAAGATACCTAATATAAGTCATCAAAAAAGAAAAACCAACTCTGGCTCTGCTTATAATTCTAACAATGCTTTATAACCTCAATAGTGAAGACAGCAGAGGCAGGGAAAGATTTGATCCAGGCGAAAAGAAATAGAGCCACTTCTTCAATTTTCTGCTTTCTCTTTTTCTTCCTAGTATCTTTTCCTCTTGTGACTTGCAACCCTATTTTTTTGGTTATACCCATTCCCTCCTTAGGGGAAGGCCCTTTATGTCTTTATACACCTTAAGTTTGGAAGACTCCTGACATCACAACAACATACTAAAATGTGCCCACAATCCACCTCAAATATAATTGTTAGATAACTATACAGGAGTGGAGTTGGTTATTTTTTGTGTAGTTATATTATTTAGACATTTATTTAAACAAGCATGATTTTCATTTTGCTATTTTCCTTGTACATGTGCTTGTGGTCTCATATTTATTTTTCACCATCTACAAATGTGCAGGCTGTACACCCTGAAGCCATGTTCCTAATGGGTAAAATAGCCTGCCCCCCACACACACACTAGGCTATAAGGGTGGCCTCTGTTTGCAGCACAATATATGGAAGGATTCATTGTGAAATGTATCACAAGAAAATTATTTCTAATAACAAAAAATAAGGCATCAAAATTTGTAAATGTTTACCCTTTTAATAAATTGAAACTAATTCAAATTTATAGCTCTAATAACCTTACTCTTGCTCACATACACTCAAAGCCAGCATGTAACATGGTTTTATAATCTAAAACCAGTCTTACTGCACTGCAGAGGCACTGAGATACCCTTAATCCACTGACTCACCCTTAATACCAATTCATTTTTTAAATAAACAAACATCTCAAGAAAAATTTCTACCTACCCATTTGTTTCACACACCCCCCCATAAAAATTTTCAGGTTTTTGTCAAAATTTGAATAAGCATATGATGGTGTATTGTGTGATTTTCATGATTTTATGATGTGATGGAAAACGTGATGGAGAATCCCAACTTCAAGGCATAACCTCTCCTTCTCCCCATCTCTATACTGTTCTACAAAATGCAGGATGGGAGACAGAAGGAGGAGGATTTTTCAAATTTAGACACACCTGAAATCCAGATTACAAAGAGAAAGTTCCCTCAAGAGTCCCCACCTTGGGACTGGGGAGTTCATAGCACTAAGCACATAATCTGGCACATTGTAGGTACAGTGGAACTATTTGAACAAATGGGCCATGGAATTGGTAAGTTAGCCTTTTACTAGTGGATTTGTTTGTTGCACCAAGGTGGTGATCAAAACCTGAGCCATTTTCATGAATAGCCCCCCAATGATAGCTCCCATCCTGGTACAGTCTGCTCTTTGAACTGCACTCAAACATTTTATTAAAAAGTCTTCCCCGCCCCGCATTCTCCTAATGCTTTTCCTGACCCACCTCTGCATGCCCATTTCTTTCTCTAACCAGTGTCATCCTCCTAGTCCCGCTGACATCCTTTGACTCACTAACCCCTTTTATCCCACATATCCATTTCCTCTCTCCAAGCTCTAATCTTTGTCTTTTATATAGATTTCTAAATACACACACACACACACACACACACACACACACACACACACACTCCTGTCAATCCCTCTCCCTGACACCGTCAGTGCTCTTAAACTCACATTCTACATCACAGTATTAGCTGAAGGATCAAGGAAGTGGTAGAGAAGAGTTAAAAACTTTGCTTTTTCTGAGAGATGAGGAATGAGAAGACAGAAGACTGGACCGATCATGTTGGCATGCGGCGTGTCACTAGTCCTGCCCCATACAGAGTGCTTATATTTAGAGACAGAGAGGCCACATGCTTCCTCCTTCTGGAGGCAGGTGCCAGAGTCACCCATGGGATCACTGAGCATCTAGGTCAATGAACCAATGGAGAAATGAAAATTCTTCCTCTAATGCCAAGAGGGAGCACTAACTCTAGAGGTAATTAGTAGCTCCAGACAAAATACATTTGAAAACACAGCATAAGAGCAGTGACAAAAATCCTACTAGTAAAATAATAACAGCTACCATTTGTTGAGCCTTTACTATATCCCTGTCACTGTGTTAGGGTTTAACATGAATTTTCTCACTTAATTATCAGAACAACCCAATGAGATAAGGCATTGTTAATCTTTTCATTTGGCATTTTTATAGAGGTTTAGAGAGACTAAGTAGCTGATAGGGAGAGAAGACAAAAGCCCTCAGATGAGCATATCAAAGTGTTCAGACTCAGTCCACAAATACTGATTAAGGGAGATGAGAGGGGTCATTTTGAAGCAAGCCTGCAGGCTCAATCACTCAAGGTAAGTTCAAGAAAAGAAAAGGGACAGAATACATGAACGCTGAATAAAATGTTTACACTCTTAAAACCAAATTTTACTTTGTGTGCACTTAATTAAAGCACTCTAACATTGTTGGGAGGAGAGAAATTCTTCCCAACTCATCTTGTAACTTTTGGAGCAAAGAAAGTTGTTAGGAAGCGAATAAAGGGGGGAACCGAATATTGTGGGAAAGACATTAACCCAGCAATTCCACTCTTAGTTTACAGCAGTTTAATTTATAGTAGCCAATAACTGGAAACAACCCAAATGTCCATAAAAGAAGAATGGATAAACAAATTGTGATATACTCATACAATGGAATACTATTCAGCAATTAAAGTGAACAAACTACTAGAACATGCAACAACACAGATGAAACTCAAGATTATTCCATGTGTGAAAGAGGCCAGATACAAAAGAATCATACACTGTATGATTCTATTTATCTATATATATAAAAGCCCAGCAACCAAATGGCAAAACAACCAGAACGGTGACCAGGAGCTGCCCCTTGGTGGTCAGTGCGCTCCCACAGTGGGAGTGTCGCTGGGCTGACTAGGATGAGCAGCACTCCCATAGCGGGAGCAGCCACTCAGAGGCGGGGTCCACAGTGGGCTGATCCCCACAGGCCACACCCCTCCACCAGTGCATGAATCTGTGCACTGGGCCTCTGGTATTTATATAAGGTTCTACAACATATAAAAACTAGTCTGTGGTAATAGAAATCAAAATAGTAATTGCTTCCAGGGTAGAAGGAAGCAGAAGGAAGTTTCTTTTTTTTTTTATTAAATCTTTATTGTTCAGATTATTACATTTGTTCCTCTTTTTCCCCCCATAACTCCCCTCCACCCAGTTCCCACCCCACCCTCCTCCCTCACTCCCCACCAACTGTCCTCATCCATAGGTGCACCATTTTTGTCCAGTCTCTTCCTGCATCCCCCTCATCCCTTCCCCCCACCCCAAGAATAGCCAGTCCACTCCTTTTCTATGCCCCTGGTTCTATTATAATCACCAGTTTATTCTGTTCA